CACCAGTCACAAAATGAAGAAGAAAAAAACATATAAGTCGCACCGGACTATAAGTCGCACTTTTTGGGAGAAATTTATTTTATAAAATCAGAGACCAGGAACTGACATTTCATCTTGAAAGGCAAGTTATAGTAATAAAGGCTAATAAACCCTCGTCAGACTCAGCATCAGTTCCAGTTAGAATTATTAAGGCCTTTCTGAATCCCGACAGGATGGTTTTGATTGTCACTGGTCCAGGCTTTCTCGATCCATCCAGTGACTTCCAGGAAAGTTGCATGGCGCACCCTCCCGGTAGTCACAAGTTTCTCTCTGACTCCAAACTTTCTTTCAGCTGCTTGATTACAATTTTCGGATGCATATTTCACTATTTGCAGTTTGTAATTTGCAAAATATGTTTTTCTTTTTGGGGGCATTTGTGTTCAGTCTTCTCAGTGTCTTTATAAGTTTGTTCAGATTTAAAATGTTCAGTGATATAGAAGTAATGGTGCAATCGACTGACAAGATCCCAGGCAGGACAGCGGCTGGAGACATAAGCAGTAGAGCATGAAGTGACAGTCGTATAGGAGTAACAGAAGTGGCAAATACTGGCACACAAGCCTAGAGCTGTCTCTCATGGCTATCAGTGTGAACATTTTAAATTTTAATTTTAAGTTGCACCACAGTATAAGTTGCAGGACCACCCAAACTATGAAAAAAATTGCGACTTATAGTCTGAAAAATACAGTAAGGCATTAGACATACCGGGGCATTTCAAGCAGGATCCCTCCACCAGAAAACTTACACAGTGCATCTTTAATGGTCACTTTTCTGGTGGAGGTTCTGGGAGCCATTATTTACCTTATCTCTCTCCGTGGAGACAAGCAGATGATGCCAATGGGCCAAGTTACAGGTTGGATCTGTGGAGAAGCAAACCAGCTCACAGTAAGAATGCATGTATCATCAAGGTATTTTCATGAGCAATACAAAGACCTGAAATTGAATAAGTAGCACTAGATGATGATAATTCACATCTCATGAGGACAAGCAGGTAGCAGACCCCCACGAGAAAGGTTATATCGTGCACCTTTAAACAGAAATAATTAGAGTGAAAATATATTAAAAATGTGTCATATTGCTATGTGGATATTGGCAAATGTCAGCTGTGGAAAGTAAAAATCATTTTATTAAAAATTTGACTGAATGTTCTTTTTGAGACATTCACTTAGTCATGTAGCTTTAAAATAAAAAGCCCATATAGTACAAGGAGAAAAAAAAATCCATATATACAATAATGACGAGGTCAAAATGCATAATATTTCCAAATAATTTTTTGACTTTTCTCCATGTATTCCCTGACACGTCCTTGTTTTTCTGTGTAAAACATAGAGACGAGAATCAGGTTTAATAATACACTAGTTAATCTCTGATATTTCTCTGCCAGTTTTTGAGTTTAAATATTTGCCTTTCCAATCCAGGCAACACCGAGTCCTGGTGTGAGTAAACACAGCTCTATATCTTGCTACAAATCAAGCTGTTTTTACTAGACCCAAATGTGTTTTTTGAAGCACACAACTGGCCAAAGCTCCCCGGAAAGAACACTCCCTCAGTAAGCAACATAAAAGGCAATGTAAAAGTAGTCCAATAGAAATGCAGCCAACTCCTGGACCTGACCTATTTAAATATTTACCATACAAAGCACAGGCAGTTCTTCACTGAGTCTGCCAATTGATTCTTCTTTAAAAATCAAAACCAACAGAGACCAATCCTTTCTCCTTCACACCATTAGGAAGCTGGGAGTCTATAAATGAAACCCAGGGAGAGGGAGGAGAGAGAAGCCATGCCATAAACAGGCTGTATGGTGGAAACAATTACATCATTTTTTATGTATTTGTTTATTTTTTCCTGTCTTTCTTTTTGGGTCAGGGTCAAGAGCTCACTGAGCAGCTGATAGGCCAGTACTTCCTGGAGAGATTAAGTTAAGAACAATTCATTCAACAATTCAATTAAGAGTTCAAAACTATATATAAAAGATGTATACTATATCTTTTGCATGGTCCAAAGGAGTGTTCCCCAAAGACTAGGCCTTCAGGTGGGTCACAAGACTTTTTTCTTTTTTGGGTTGCCTTGCAGACCTACATACAAATTGTGACAAGGTGAGCATAAAATGTTCTCATTAATGTTCAGTAATGGTCAAATCCACCTTTATTTTGTGATTTATGAATAATATCTATTGACATGGGTCATGAAGGTTTGTGACTTTTAAAATGAGTCCCCCCCCCAAAAAGTTTGGGAAACACTGGTCCAAAGTCCTCAAAATGGCACATGATATAAACAGGAAACTAAAACCCAAGAATAGGAGCCATTCTGGACACTTTTTCTCATTCCAAAACCAATATACTGTATGTTGTTTTGAATTGTTAATAGCCATGGTAATAGTGATCATGTCTGAATCTATGTGTAAAGGAATCTAGACTGTATAAACAAGTGGACTAAGGGAGTGTGACGTCACCCATAGCATTCAATTTCAGTCAAACAATGCTTACTGGGGTAGCGGTTCTAAAGGGCAAATTTGCAGCAGAGTTCCACATTAGGAATATACATTTATTCATGGCCAAAATAGCAAAATACAAACACCAGGATCATGTAGAGCAAGTTACGAGATACGAACATTTACAAATGGAGGGTATGTAAACAGTTATTTGTTATCTTGCATTTAGTAAATTACAGGTGTTTTACTGTAAGCAGAGCTGCCTCTCCACTGATCTGGGGCGACAGTAGCTCAGTTGGTAGGGCTTTTGTCCAGTGATTCAAAAGTTGGAGGTTTGAATCACATAAATATCTTTGGTTGAGTGGTCAAACCCACAGACCTACAGGTTGGCGGAACAATTTCAGCTTCCACAAATGAATGTTATCCTTGTGTCCTTGGGCAAGACACTTAACCCACCTCGCTCTCAGTGTCTGTGTACACGTATGAATGTGTGTGTGAGTGGGTGAGTGTTTACTTCTCGCTTTGAGTGCCTTGAAGCTGGAAAAGCACTATATAAAAATGTGACCATTTACCTTGGCCTTGTGGCATCTCCTGCTTGTCTCCATGGTGACAGATATGTTAGTGCAAACCAGTAACATCTCAACAAGGTTTGGTCTCGGAGAAAGATTATTAAAGAGGTGAAGATTATTCTTTATCAGATAACAGCGATGTAGAAGTTTGTAGGCTGCTTGTTGGTGATGAGATATTTGTGAGGTAATGTCCAAACATTTTTCCATGGAATATTGTCAGTAAAGTCCGGCTGCTGACAGCGCACGAGTAGGGCTCCGTTCGGGAGCTCGTCGCTCTTTTCCCACAGCGACTTATTATATGGCAAGTTTAATTGAAGATGACGCCAAGTAAGTTCCTTTTGAAAAGTTTTTCAAAGTTTTGTGCACCGTGTCTTCACTCACGCCTGCTCAAGCCACCATTTTCGGGAGCTGGCCACTGTCCTGCCGTTTCCCCAGTTTAGACTCCTGACACCACTAATGACATCACTCTGTTGCAGCCAATGAAACAGCGCCAGGAGTAACCCTGTCGTCATATCTCTGAATACATCTCAGAATGTCTAATAAACAACATGTGAACTAAAACATGTTAAATTAATAATACTGAGTTTGGAAAAATACCTGAATAAACTTATATTTTTGTTTATTAAAATAAAATGGCAAATATTGATAGGGACTATTTTGTCTTCCCAAATATTGATTGTGACACGTCCCCACCGTTCCTATGCAAACCTACACCCTTGCATCTCAAAGGTTACACAGTGCACCTTTAAAAACACAATTAATGTAGCAAAACACCATTCCAGGTATGTTCTTAATTAAAGTCAAACTGTATAACAACTTGGAAAACAAACAAGTAAATTTTGCTTTATTTTCCATAAAGTGACATTATTAGCAGATTGCCCTAGCTAAACTTTCGAGGCTCTTGCAAAAACTTATAATAATGTATATATTATATTATCATACACTATTTTCTTGTCCAAACAGGAGCGATTATGGACTTTAATTGAGGGCTGTCTGTTTATGTCCAAACACCTGTCACCTGCAGTGTAATGACTGCTGACTTCCTCATGTTTACTATGGCCATGATTATAGCCTGTCTCACGGAAGCAGCACATTGTTTTTCTGGTGTCTGTCATCTCGTCTCGTCTGTGTCTCCGCATGTTTGATTCATTCACTAGTTTGGACTCATAATAATAGTAATGAATGGTTTATTTGACATTGTTCCTTTTGACATTTCAAATACATCTGTCTCCACAAACACAATCCCTCTCGATAACGTCCATGACAGCGATTGCTTTTGACACAGCTGTTCTACAATATTTAAAACTCAACTCTGACATCTGTGATAATTATTTCATCGTTAATTACTACAAACATTTCACTGCTTTTGCACAATCAACAAAAATTATCTAATTAGCAGTCTGCCTTTTCTCATTGTGTTACTGTCCAAAGTCTCAATAAGGACGTCTTTGGTGTACAGTCGCCATGGTAGCAATGATACAAGCAGCAGTCCTGGTAAAACCGCAGCAAATTACAGATAGCAAAAAGCTTTTTACTTTGCTCTAATTGCAATCTCACTTAGTACTTCAGCTCTCACATCTCAGTTATGAAGTGCATCAAAGCTAAACTTACTGTAGACTATTTTTGCAGTCCTAATGCAGAGAGATTTTGTATTTCAGTGACAGTATGGATGTGGTGGATGTGACATGTTTTACTCTGCCTGCCTGTTAGGGGTGCCAGTCTCATAATATAAAGTATACGTGCTTTTGGTGGTTGGTGTCAGGTTTAAGCCCACCTAAACATTGTAAAAGTAAGAAGAAAGACAAGAGATTAATATCGTTTACTCGCGAGGAGGACGGACAGAGAGTGTGATCAGTTACAGCAGTCTCCACCCGCCCTGATGCACTCCCTGCGTCTCCTCTTTTTATTGTCATAAGGGAGTCCCTAGTTACAATGGGTGTTTCTCTAAGGGGATGGGTTGAAAACAGCAAAAAACAGTAGAAACATCAGACATGATTTCATTGTGCAAATATGTATATTCAGCAGCAGGTGGCCGATAAGGTGTAGCATCATTGTTGTAGCATCTTTGTTGTAGCATCTTTGGGAACAGCACGTCCCCTCCAGCATGTCCCCTTCTTTCTGCCATCCTTAAGAGCTGCCCTCTTTCCCAGCAAAGTGAGAGCCGTCCTCTTTCTCAGAAAAGAGCTGACTAAGTCATTGTTTTAGCGGTGTGCAGAGTGGGTGACAAGTCACTGCATAGTTATAAGCACAAACATTATTTCACACAAAAAACAATACATAGAAAATATGGGATAACATATACACAATTATTCTAACAGTTGGGTACTTCCAGATGCTTTGTATCATTGCTTTGTGCACAGTGAAAACAGCAGTGTGGAGCTCTCTGTGTTTACTTTAGTAGATGGCTTGTGTTCTGTCCCCTGGCAGTATTGGGGCTCATGTGATGTTGGTCATCTTACCCTAGTCCAAAGTGTCCAAAGTGTAAATGAGTACAATGAACACTGTACATTTTATACCTGTAAATGAGTTTTAGATTATAATGACTATACTGTAAAAGCCACACATCATGACAAAATTAGAGCACTGCACACTGTCTGCATATGATAAGAACTCAGAAGTACAAGTTGGAAGAGTTGTGCTTTGGAAGTCCGTCCCAGTTTCCCTACTGTGTATAAAAAAAATATAATAAAAAAAAACTGCTCTAAAGCTGTACATGCTCTCAGAAACATTAATATTGAATATTAATAATGTGCCAAAGAGTTTGTGAGAGCTTGAAATGGGGAGAGATTTAAATACACACTTCCTTTTTCTGTGGTTGAAATTGGTAATGGAGTTTTAAAGTGTGTGCTAACTCTAACCCCAAAGTAATGTACTGACCTGCGTGAGATGAAGATGGGGAATCTTGAAGTAGATGTGAGCGCCTCCATCGTCATTCGAGTTGTTTTATTTTCCATGGGGCTGCCACTCTTGATTTTACACAAATTAACCTGCATTATGTCATATATGTGAAACAAATCTTTAAAAAGACGACTCCCACTTGGACCTCGGATTTGACACAGCTGAGCTTTAAGTGTATTATTATGTTTCGCATGTTCGACTACGTGGATTATGATTATGACTATTCCCTCATCTTATGAAAATGCTGACACTTTAATTAATTTCATTTGTACTTTATTTTATGTTATGATTCCTCTTCCGTTGCAATCTTAGGGATGTTAACGCCTTTTAGGGATGTTAACGCCTTTTAAATCAAGTATTTTTTCAATATTGGCCTCACCACAACAGACTATCACACCCATAGGCAGTGATACAGATGCGTTAAGGTATTGCAGTAATACGAGTGACTGAAATTGTCATTTAAACCACCAAAGTGACCAAACACAATGAAAACAGTTTATATTTACATGTCACAGTGGGCGTAGCCATCTTGGATTGTGACTTGGATTCCTTGCTCGGTCTACTTTTTCCGCCACCGAGGTCCAAGTCGCACCATCCCAGGAAAAGGGGCATGTCATGCGTGTTGTTGGGCAACTTCCTTGGAAAACTGATTCGGAAGGATAATCGAACGCAGGGTTGTCTCCATGTATCCTGTAACCATTCAGAGAGAGACATGTTGGTATCAGAAACGACTTACACGGACATGGATGCTTACAATCGAAGCACCAAACTGTTACTACTATTTACTATTACCTCTATGGTCAGATTCCAGTCCCTTCAGGATTTTAACAGAATGTAGAAGGACTGGCTGGTCTCAAATAACTGTTTAGGAGCATTTAGAGACAAAAGTGGGCACAGCAGAATAAGATGGATACCAGGCTAACAACATCCACAAGGTTGCATTATATTTTATAGACAACAGTGTCCAATCACAACCTGCACACTATCCTTTTCCTTCTGTGAACACTCAGCAGTGATGTAGGTGCACTGAGCTTTATTGACATGTTCTGACTCCGTGTCCTCTGCTCTCCCATGTGCACAGATCACAGGGGTTGAATAAATAGCCCGGATAGTGGCTATGACTGCGCGCCCCATTTCTCTGAGTTTAAACCTCTCCCAAAACGAGATGAAGAGACGCACTCGACCTCCCGACTTGAGCATCTGTCACCATTAAATAACAAATCAGCGCCTGTGCTTCAGGTTTTCACATATATTTCCTCAATTGGTGTGACCCCCTTCTCATTTTTGATAAGAGTTCAGTGTGACTTGCTCCATTTATCAGAAACTCTTTACCAAGCTGAAAAAAGTCAATAAATTATTCTGTCAGATTGTTGAATTTGAATTGCGTCTCTTTCTTCTCTCTCCCCTCGTCTTCCCCACTTCCCTTTTTCATACTTACCAATGCATTCGCTCATTTCCCAGCTGTACGCAAATGCCTATTCCTCACAGTGGTATAGCAGGTAATATCCCGCGCTGTATTTTCTCTATATTTCTACAGGCTGTGGTAATAGAAAAGCAGTAGTGCCCTGAAATAGCATCAGAAAGGCAAAAGTGATTCCTTAAAGATGAAGACGGGGATTCAGAAATGTACAATGGAAATATTGTTACCTCAAAATAATGCTACTACGAGTCAAGGATAAGTGAAAAGTAGAAGTAGCAAGGAAATGTTCTGATGTAGGTCGTTCATTGTTGAAACTAAATATTGTGGTGGCTTGGGAGATAGCTGTCTCACCTCACAGCAAGAAGGTCCCGGGTTATATTCCAGGCACTCATCAAGCTAAAACAATAGTATATTTTAAGTGACATATAACTAAAACAACTGAACTTAAACTTCTTAGGTTCTTTTTAAAGACAGTGCAGTAAAGTGTATTTACCTTGTTGACATGTTTCGGCTGCTCGCTGCGAGCCATCTTCAGAACTGTCACTGGTGTTGGTGGTGACGTGTCGTATATCAGCTGTTGTTACTTCCTGTAGGCGTGGTCAGTCTGGTGACAGTTCTGAAGATGACTTGCAGCTAGCAGCCAAAACATGCCAACAAGGTAAATACATTTTACTGCATTGTCTTTAAAAAGAACCTATGAAGTTAAAGTATATAAGAAGACAAAATGAACATCATTGGCTTAACAACTGAACTTACTTAGTTTTTTTGAAGCAAATGTTTTGCTCTCAAGCAGATAGCTTCTTCAGGGCTAAATCTTATACCTTGATGTTAATGATGATGATTTAATCAATTAGGCTAAAACTACAAGAAGTTACTCATATACAAATTTTTACATTTTAACAGGAGATCAGCCCCACCCTGGACTTTTCAGGTGATGCACCATGGGTAAAATATGGAGTTAAATTACAGACAAATAAAATCCCTTAAGGTCCACCTTTAAAAATTAAATGAATAATAATAATAATAATAATAATAATAATAATAATAAACATTAAATCAACACAAATTAGTGTTAAATGTTTAAATTAATGTTGAAATAATCTTTCAAAATGATTAGTTTAATCGATAATACTGGCGTTATTCAGGTCACAATATAGTCATAAGAAGAACTGGAAAAAACAAATAAGGAAAACCTAAAAGTGAAGTGCGTTTTACTTTATCATTTAGAAAGGTAGATTTCCTAAACTTAACCACATGAGCTGATAGTGGAATGGAATAAAGTATTAAACAATAAAAGAAAATTAAGAATTTCATTGTTTGGTGTAAAAATTGTGAATAATCATAAAATGTGATGTCTCTTCTCATAATAATCATAACTATAAAAAAATATGAATAATGTGAAATCACTACTAAAGAAATAAAATATGATAAACTACATTGAGCAGTCGAGTGGCAGTAGTAAAAGTACCAGAGTACATATAGTATAACGGATCACTATATCTCTGGTCCCTGACGCCTAATGCCTATTTCAGATCGGGCCCATGTGGCGACTTATTGGCAAACACATTACTTTAAGTTTCTTTTTCTCAATCAATTCACTGGAAAGCTAAAAACCAATCTGGAATGCCGGCAGCTCCCGTGAGGCCTGATTGATGAGCGGGACCGGGAATGTGCAGAACCAGCAACGCTCCCAACGCAGTGTGTACGGAAGAGCACGGAACGCCATCGAGGTGGAAGATGTAGATGGAGTGAAGGCGTCGAGGATTTGGCATCACTTGAATCTGGGCCGAGTGGGTTGAGTTTAAGTGACATCACATTTCAGATGAAAACGCAAATGAGCTGGAGGACAGGTCGGGACTGTGAGTTTAGATTTAGATCGGAGATGTTTTGACCTGGTTGAGGGATGGAGAAGTTCATTCTCCAACAGGCTCCTACAGCTCCACAAACAGTGAGAGATACAGGACTACACTCATACTATACTCCATATAACTGTACAACAACTTACTTTTGTAATGGAACAAATAACCCATGTCAATCTTTAAAGGGTCAGTCCAGAATTTTGGACATAGGACCTAATTTCCTAGTTAGCCAGAGTGTTGGAGACATATGGAGACACTTTTTAAAACTGTTCCATCCAGTCCTTGTATTTGCAGAGGTCGCTGGTGCTAGGCTAGTGCATGTCATTGGTCATAGTTAACCTGCCTAGAACCAGTCTTACAAACTCCACAGTGCACCAGAGGCAAAACAATTATAACGCCAGACTGTCGATGTGAATGTCTGTTTTGATAGAATAATTTTAGAAGTAAAACCAACCTTGCATTTGAAGGATTTATGTCTGAGCAGCAGCAGCGAGTTGTACTTCCTGATGGAAAGCTTGGCAGCGGCGGCCTGAAAAAATAGTCCCTCAACATGCGGCGATTCATGTGATGCAAGGTTAGTTTTATTTCAAACATTATTCTAGCAGCTAAACCATGGGACGGGCAGATGATGTCCCGAAAAATAATATTTTAATTAACTAAAATAAAAATCTCTGAACTCGGAGCAACTCGGAGGAGACTGATTGGATGGTGGGTGGTTGCAGTTTTGAAAATTGGTCAAAAACTGTGGGTGCAAATGGATGGCGGATGGATGATGAGTTTTGTGATGTGGTTGTGGATGAAAAAATAGCCCATGCACCTTTAATTTGTTTGGGGTGCTTTATGGAGTAGGTAAGACAGTTTTTAGTGGCAGACTAACTATGGCCATTGATATGCACTAGCACCAGTGACCTCTGCAAATACAAGGACTGGATGGAATATTTTAAAAAGTGTCTCCACATGTCTCCAACACTTTGGCTAACTAGGAAATGAGGTCCTATGTCCAAAATTCCAGACTGTCTCTTTAACAAACATTGATACGATTCAGCATTTGATGATCATATGTTTGTGGGCGCTTTCGGCTCTGTCGACTCTGGTTCCAAATTACTTTACATTGAAAAACTGTCACCGCTTCCTTTGTTTCTGCTTCAGTGGCCCTCATCATTTTTGTCTTTAAATGTTCATACTAACCCGTTCTACCTGATCCTGGTGTTTTTATTTGGCTGTTTTGTACATAACTATATATTCCTGATATGGACCTGCCTCCAAATTTGCTCCTATAATTGCTAGAATTGTGAGCTTCATTTGACTGGAGCTGAATGCTATAGGTGAGGTCACACTCCACTTCTTTAAACAGTCTCTGGGTGTGACAGAGGAATCACCTACTGAGTATGGGGGAAATAAATAGGCCGATCTATACAAAGATTGACAATGCAAGGACACCACAGCAGTGAAAACACATAAATAACCAAACCAGACAGTGACTGGAAACCGCTGCTGCTGTTAAATAAGTAATTAATTTGTCTAATAAGCATTTCCGGAGGTACTCAATAACTGTCTGCTAAACAGATATTCAAGCATGACGATTTGGGCTCAGTTGCTGTAAAGTGTAGCTCAAAGCACCTGCCTCAGAGCTGCAGGAGCCAGACGAGTGTCACGGTGGTGTAGCAGTCAAAGAGATTGGTATTGACAGATGGGTTTGAGAAGATAATGGACAAATGGTACAGTGGTGTTTTCATTTATTTATTTAACAGTTGGACAAAACACTTTGGTCATAACTGAATATATTTACAGGTTTACAGGTTCGCTTGTTACCCATGTTTGGACAATTGTTGTGTTTATTGAAATCATGTTCAGTGGGTCTTAATCGAACCTAAGAAATTTTGGAGAATTTACATATTACCTGTTAAAAGAAAGGGCCCATATTACACAATTTTCTGAGCTATGTTATAATTTTCTCATCAAAAACATACCTGGAGTTGTGTTTTGTTTCATTCACACATGGTTAGCACACAATATTTAAGCTGAGTTCTTCTCTCAAATAGAATGCACTGTTCCACCTTTTTAATGTTGTAATACAGGATGTGCTCCACTGTGTTTTTAAAGTCAATACGCCTTCACTAGAATCATAAGCTACAAAACACAAAGCAGATCAGGAACAACTCAAATCGGCCATCTCTGACCGCTGAAAAAGAGAGAACCACATTATGGACTGGGACGGAGCAAACATTATTGGGACAGAGGAAAACAAACAACGTCACTGGATTAAAGAGGCAATCAGAATTTGAAACGTGCCCACGAGACTATAAACCTGGACGAGGGGCTTTTTTACTTTCACACACCTGGGATACTGTCCTGAGGAAGTGGGACTGTAGATGGTGCTGTCGTCCTGCCTCCACCAGTAGGAAGACAGCTCCAAAACCTGTTTAAATCAGCTGACCGGACATGTCACGGCAACACCACGTGACCACTCTGAG